CCAGATGATACAATGAAGTGCACTAGGAATTCTAACGTTGACTTACTGAGTTCACACTTACTCGGGTTAACAGTAACACCGTGTTGAGTCAACAGCTGAAAGAGAGCTTGAAGGTAATCGAGGTGCTCTGCTTCAGACGAACTGGATACTACAATGTCATCGAGGTAAGCATATGCAATGTCTCAACCACGAGTAACATCGTGGATGAAACATTGAAAGGTTTGTGCGACGTTGCACAGTCTTAAACGCATTCTTAGCAATTCGAACAAGCCGATGGCAGTGATGACGGCTGTTTTACGAATGTCTTTTTCTTTTGGTTTCCGTTGATATGCCCGAGAAAGATCTATCTTACTGTAAACCGTCTTACCTATTAGATTTTCAGTGTGGTCCGGTAAGTGTGGGATAACCTAATTTTGTTTAGTGCTCGGTAATCACCGTAAGGGTGCTACTCTGCATTGGGGAGGACCTAGGACTGTCTGAATGGCGGATTATTCCAAGTCCGAGCATATGCTCAAACTCCGCCCTAGCTAGCTTAAGCTTTTATAGGGAAAGTCGGCGTGGACACAATGAGGTAGGTGAGCTATTCTTCTGAGTGTGGTGCCACGGGGACAGCCGCGTTCATCTGCTGAACGAGAAAATTTTGGCATAGTCAGGTGCGGTCTGGGGAAATACTTAGATCCGATCGATAGATACGATGTCGGCGTTGGTGCGGCGCACACTGTGTTTCGTTGCTTAGGGTCAGGCGTCCTCGCGATATACTCAGCCCACGCGAGACTGGATGTGGTCGCGTAGCAGCGAAGCGCCGTTACGGTTTGCAGCTGGCGATTTATTATTATTATTATTATCATTATCATTCGTTGTGTACTCGACTATCTCCTGGCATTCCACATCGACCAAGAGGTTGAAGCCCCTGAGGAAGTCTGTATTGATGTTGGCAACTGGGACTACGGTAACGGTGAATACCCAACGGAACGTTCGCCGAAGACCTAAATTCAATGTAAGCGATAGATGACCATAGGTGGCTATTAGTGCGTCATTAGCGGCACCTAAGTTTGTCGACAGGGAAGTGCTTGACTCACCTTAGACAGGAGGAGTAACGCTAACTTCTGCTCTGTTGTCAACTAGGACCTGAGTCCCAGAATCATACTCCCTAACGTGGGTGAGACGACTTTGCATTTTCACGGACTGTTATTCGCCATTACGGGCCGTCCTAGATGTTCCTCTGCTGAATAGCGGAGAAACTGCATGGCTGTTCGCGTTTTCGACCTTTGTTACCGAAACGTAGATAGTAGAAAATGTGACCTGAGGCATTAGGTTTCGGGCGACAAGGCGATGATGTAGCACGGCTGCGGTGCTTACAGTCTAGGATCAGCTTCTCTACTTGGCGCTGAAGCGACGCTATTTGTGATGACAAGGCGTCTGTTGCCGGCTGATTGTTAGTCGCGGGTGTCACTGGGGTTGCGATGATGCTAAGTAAGGTAAATGCTCTTGATTCCGTCGTTGGTTGGTGCCGTTCGGTTACGTGGTCCACTAGGTCTGCAATTGCTGCGATCGGCAGGGTAGCCTGTATATCTTCTGATAGGCGTTATATCCGCATCTCGTGGAAAATCTCACGTTCATGTTGGATGTGCCCAGGAGCCGCTGCATTTCTCGCAACAAAGCTCAGAGTGTCTTATCCCACATTTGCAGCTCCCTTAATAGTTGCTGCAAGTGGACCTTGACTGAAAGCATCATTTGCTCGATAATAACATGCTTAAGGGTTTTGTATCTTATGATAAGAATGGAACAAGCTATAATGTTTCTCACCTGTGAGGATATACCATGATTAAAACTCAAAATGTCGGTTGCCGTGTTCCGTGCCTGAGTCATTAGTTATTTGATGAACCTCGGATACTAGTCGGTAGCGATGACACGTAAAAGACGTGCCAAATGCGAAACGGTAGGAAAATTGGAGGCAATTGGATCCAATGTATGTCATAAGGGCTACATGCAATGGAAAGCGAATCAGCAAGAGCGAGGAGAAACGTAGCGCGCACTCACCGTGCAGAAAATGTCCAGAGGAACTATAACCAGTAAAACAAATAGACTATCAAAATGTACCATCATTTAAAAAGTCCTGTGTTGCGGAACGCTGGGAGAGTACATATTACTAGTTGACTACAAGTCTTCTTTATCACGGCATTCCACTCAGAACATGCATACTGTAGTTAACGCGTTAGATTCATCGTCTGTTTTCTCTCTGGGACATTATATACTGGTGCGTAGTCTGTTACTTTTGATATCCGTAAGTGTTTCGCCCATGCTTTGTGTTGTCATCATTCGGCTCCACACGGTTGTGTGTGTCCTTCACATCACCCTGCAATTTTTTGAGCTTTCCTCTTTGACAAAATGTCGGAGTAGTTGCTTCCTAGTAGGAACCAAAGCTTCCCCTTGTAAACCGGCGTATTATGTTGCATGTTCTTGGGTCACGCACCTGCATTCTCTGATCATCATTACACACGTTAGCTAGAAGTGGGAAACACTTTATCTATTCTGTCGCAGTACGAGAGGTAAAAAAAGGCGCAACACAGGCATGCGAGCTGAGCCACTCGTTTCGGATGTACATCGTTCCGTAGAGCTAGCTGCCGGCTATTCTGTCTCAAAAAGGTATATGCGTCGGAAATTAGATCGTCATTGGAAGGCGATACTAAACAGGAGGGGGGGGGGAGGACGATAGAACTCACAACACAGACGCCACAGTAGCCGTCCCCTAGCTATGTCAGCAAGTGTGTCCAGCTACACGACAGTGATTTGCAGGATCCATTGAGGCCCATAGTTCATTATGCTCACTTTAAAGCAGATTGGACAGGAATCCGGACCTCAACGTACCTAGGAGTTGATGTCCGTTGCATCAGTGGTTAATATTTTTTGACATGGTGTAGTCGTGAATTTAAAGGCACACTTACGTACTATCGCACACACTTCCTTAAACGTAGTTGTTTATCATGCTGAATATGCTACCTTCTCCATGCGTATGCGTGTACGCCGCCACAGAATAACTTGTTTTGTTAGTGCTTAGCGGATGTGACCAAAAGACTGACCCATGTATGCACTGGAGACCAATCGATAGCTGTTCGCTTTAGGCTGTACTGTCGATCAAGTCAGGTCAAGATAAGCACTTTCAGCACTTTCAGCAATACGGAGTATGTCAACATTGCTGACCTTAACTTTGTTCATTTGAACAAATAGGAAAGTTGTAGATACAGGTGAGAGAATATATCCACAGTGAGCAGTATAGAACAATATTTCAATCACAACAGCGGCCTTATTTGCTGCTGTTTGTCACCATGCTTCATTGTTCTGGTGGTGGTTGTCACACCTAGTGTAAAACAGTCGTGATCATTTGGCTATTGAAGTAGCACGAAGTTTGAACGAGAACCTACAGACGAATGCTTTTCTTACTATTTCCTCGGCACCTCCTCAAGACACGAAAATGGATAAATGGCTACAACGGTGTACGGCAAATCAAGACTGGAATAGGTGATTTAGGCCAAACATGATACCTTTATGCTTGTGCTTTGTAGCCGACTGTTTGAGTGCACTGAACGAGTTCGTTATTTCGCTGCAAATACACTATTGGGCTAATTAAGCTTGTTTGGAAACAGGTTAACTGATACTACCATTGGCCTCCACTTTCAAAACAATCCATGTCGCCAAGTAGTGGGAGTAGCGGTGTATATTTCGTGGAGTCTTGTATCCGCAGGTTTTTTTTGCCGTTTATGTAAATAAAACTACGCGTGTAGCATTCGTGTAGGATGCACTACACTGACGTTCATCAGTAGATCAAATCACGTTTTTTTCTGGTGCACATAACAAATTTATTGATGCGCAAAGTAAGCAACTTTTCTACTTACACGCCAGCATCCTGCGTACATTTAGTGTCTTGTCTACCGAAAACCAACATGATCCGATCATTTTGTCATTTTAATCTCAATACGGACGAGCTTGATTACAAATATGATTATCTTATAAGAAATACACCGCTGGCAGCTTGATAGAAGAAATACAGCTATTTACAAATGCATTGAATGGGAACTGGCTGACCTTGTCTATCGCGAAACAAGATTACCAGGGAGTGCCCACTGTGACTGAAACGATACGTAACATCGAGCTTTTACTTAAAAACGATAATGCCTCCATGAGAGCAATGTATTATTAAGCTTTGTCTCAACGAAAAAAACAACCACCTATTTGACGCCAGTTCACGCTGCATTCACTAGCTTGCGTGTGGTTGCAGAGCATTTTACGTGGGGTATAACTTATTGTACAATGAATTCCACAGTGGGCGGATACATACGAAGATGGATCCGGTGGGAAATCACACATTTCTTCCTTTCTCGCACATTATGTTGATGAAGGTCGCCCATCTCATTCATAGATAGACACATAGCTATTTACAACCTGCAAAATCTTGCTGAGGAATGCTGACCCCCCGCTTCTGGCGTTTCGCTGAGTCCCCGTTACGAAAAGCTCGGTCAGGCTTATACTGTGTACAACATCAGTTGTTCATCAGACTCACGCTGTCGGGAACATGCTTGTCGACATCTGGTTCCGGATTTGCCTGTCACTGCAGTCTCCGCAGGATTCCTGCGCCTACAGATAGAGACTGTGGGTGACTTGCGCTGCACCACCTATAACTCCATCCATACACCCCGTGTCGTGAACTTAAAGATATTGTAATTGCAATCCGAGCCTCTGAGTCCAATTTTCTCGGCCGCATCCTTTTCTGCGTATATGACTACATTGTCCCACTGTTTTCATGCATTTACTGTGTTTCTTATTTCACATTTGTGCTAATCTGAAACCGTTATTCGTCGTCGCTTTTTTGATATGCAACGAAACACTTGCATAATGAAGCTGTTCACCTATCCCGTGTGTTGCTGTTCATCAACTTCTTACCCGATTAACCCGTTCCTACTTTGAATTATGCTCCGTCATCGAACATTCCATCAACATTTTAGATTTTCGATGTCCAGCTGAACAACGCATTGACTATCATTAAAGACTTAGATATTTTTTCTGAAGTCGGCTTTGCCACAGCACTGGACAAGCATATACCCTTCAAAATTTCCAACGGAGTGTTGTATCTGGATGATGGTCTCTCAGTCTCCGTCGACAAAGGCTCGTTCAGCTTGGACTTTATCAAAGCAAGTCTATTTGTATATGAAATCAACTTCATTACCCGTTATCTCATTTTAGACAGACCGTGATAATCCGAAAATTAATGCGATAATTTTGACGAAGGGCCCTCTGTCGTGTGAGTCTTCTTCCATGTTGCATATGGTTTAACAATTCTAGCCATATGTGAATTAGGTCAATGCATCTGTCATATTAGTATCGATCGGACTCTATGCAGTTATAACTTACCAAGTCATAGTTACTTTCTTGGGTTTTTGTACTACAACCACTATTACATAAGTGTACCATCTGGAGAGCATTTAAGACCCATTTAGCGTTTTATGTTTCGGCAACCCACCGTTGGACTAGGCGTTCGGATTGGCTACTAATTTAGTTCATTTGGCCAACACTTGGTGTGGGCGGGGGATCCACTGCCCTCGACTAACATCATCATTTCGGTGTAATCAGAAATAGAAACTAAACTGTCCGTTGACTACGGGTCGGTATAACAGCACAATCTTTGGATGTAAAATGAGTTAAACGATGGAAGCAACTGACTATTTGTAACCAGGTCACTGAAATCGCGAAATGATGTAGTTCCTCACCTTTGATCCCGAGGCTTCTATCCATAACAACAGAGAGCACCCACCTGGCCACACTTTTTTGCGACATCGAATCCGCCCAATCAGGCGTAGCAATGTTATATACGTATATGTTTAGCTGAGCTTCAATAATGACCAAGCAAACGTGGCTGGTAAAAATTCGATACACAAACTCTTACATGTTTGGTGGTAGTGTTATCGGATGGAGCAGACAGATCAGCGCTACCTACGAGGCAGCCTAACAAATGCGAATCGAACGGCTAAGACTATTTGCCGCAACTGTCTCCGCTACTTAGATGACGGTTGCCATTTGTTCTTTAACAAGATAGAAGAGAGAAGACTATTGGTGGAACAACCTCGCTGTTAATGATACTGTCCGGACAACTGATGGGAAAGCGATGTGCGAACAGGCTGTACCGTATTTTTCCACTGCTTTAGCTTCCATTACTAAACCGTTTGCTCCTGAATGATCAAATTTTACGACCTTTTGTCTAAGATCAGTGTGAATCTCTCAGGTGGCACTCATATGCTGAAAGGAACACCACCTACTCTTCAATCCCCTGGTCACCCATAAACGGAAATTGGCAAGTAATTGACGTTTTTGGAAGAGCGCGTGGGTGGATTTCTGTATATTATTAGTGTTTTGAACGGGCAAGTACTGATGTATCACCTGGCGTTGCTTCAACAACCCTGTTATGGTTAGAAGCAGCAAGTAGAGTTTGCTCTGTGTAGCTGCATCAATGGCCTCTCATGGAAAAATACCCGTTATGCTGTGTTCCGCTCAATATATTTTGCGTCGGTAAAGTGTTAGTCAAGGAACTTCTTAAACTTTGACACTGACTTTGCCTCAACTACGTACCGCGGCAGATCGTTCCATACATTCACCACTCTGCGTTCGAAACAGAGCTGGTGAGCGACCCGCTTCAAATCCGGTACGACAAGCTTATACCGGTGTCTTCGTGTGCTGCTTGGTGTGCGCAGATGAAGCAGTTGTCTCAACAAAGGGTAATCACCCAGCTATAATATCCGGTGCGTCATGATGAGGTCTACCCTCATTCGACGATAAGCTAGGGTGTACAGCCCTAGTTTCTTACCCCGGTCTTCGTACGGCACACCTTCTAAGTTGGGATTCAGCCTGGTGGCTACATGCTGCACTCGCTCAATCTTTTCTACCTCGCCCCGGGTGATAGGACAATACGCGGGTGCGCCATACTCTAGCATTGATCGTATTATTGAGACGAAGAGGCGAGAGGCAATCTCTTCGGACCAAGTGCTGAAGCTGCGCCTGAACGCCCAAAGCGTACGAAGACTGCTTTGGTTAATCTTATTCGTGTTATCCATGGACTTTAGCTCGTAGCGTGAGAGTACACCGAGGTCGCGCACTGAAAGCGCGAGATGCAACGGTTGACCGGCCACCGTGTAGGCTCGACTGTGCTCACACTTACCCAGCCCCATGTATTGCGACTTCACCGGGTTGATGATGATGCGCGCCGTGTGCGGGGGACATTGCGCTACGACAAACATCTTAGTGACTTTCGAAGATCAAACTATTTTTCTCGCTAATCAGACACCCAAATGTATGTTCACCCATTCATCACTAAGTTGGAGATTTTGGTTCGGCCTTGCCTTGTTCTAGTAATCAATAACGTAAGTAAAATCTAGTGGCTTTTGCGACAACACGCCTTGTCGCTTCAGCAATGCATCAACGCCTGCAATAGTGAGTCCTTGACCACGTATCATTACCAGGACTCTTAACTGATGTAGAATTGTGTACGATCTAAAAAAAACAAAATCAGAGAGCTCGGCAGTTTTATGCCGCGCAACACTCGAGGTGCCGCAAAATTGTACCAAGTATGGAATCATTATCAACAGCAGCAGCACATCAGCCATTTACATTGATACTTCGCTGCCATACAGCCATGATGGCCTATGGAATGAAGAATAAGAAGAGGGAGAGAAGGGGGACTTACCTGAAAACTTTAATGCCCTAAGCAAACATTCAGAGTCAAAGCGCCTGCACCTTGTGTAGACAACATGCCGTCACAAGCAGCTGGCTATCGTGCAAAGATAAGGCGGCATCGGCGAGACAGCAACCTTTCGGCTTTCACTCCCCCGCGTCATAATCAACCATTACGCCGCAGATAACTCAGAACCAAACAGACGTTAAACAGGCAATCCGATTAGGAGACGGCAGCAGACGCGCCGCTGGTGTCCGTTGCGAGCCATGTCCTGTAAATTCTCAAACTAAGCAGAAGACGCGTCACCTGGACTCCAGCCCGGAAGGCGAGACGGACGGACGGCACCCAGTTTGGTCGTCAGTGACTTCATTTCACACTGCCAAGTCAACTTCTGTCTACCTCGAGCCTTGTGCCATCCTACACTTGGTAGACTGTTCAACGCCCTCCTAGGTAAGCGGTGACCAGGTATGCGTAGCACGTGCCCAAGCCAACACAACTTATTCGGTGCTTTTTAAAGCACTTTGTTCCCTGGATCCGTCTGCAAAAAACAATAAGAAGACGAGCACTGCAAGATGGCATTGTTGCCTGTTACTTGATCACTTGCAAACTGTCAGCATATATAGATCACGTAGGGGAAGGAAACGATCGTTTTGAATTTGTCAGAAAAAATGCGCACAAACACAAAACGATAGCTGGTAGCGCTGGGACAAAGGTCATGAACCCCAAGGAAGCTTTTGCACACAATGGGTGAGATGGTGACGATTTAGGGCCACAGCCTCGACAAACTTCAGCACCCTGGCGTTTTCGTTTCGGTATATAACCGTAAAAGTTGACCCAGGGTCAACTTGATGACCTATCCTGACTAGGTGTCTAGTAATGAATGATACCGGCACTTTGCCTGCTGCTCTTGTCCAGTTGCTTGTGCCATCAACACTGCTATCTTTTGTTCTAGAGAGCTAGCATAATTACCACTACCTAGTACTCGCCTACGCACATCATCGTTGCGGACACGCTGGTACCATCCGACCTGCAATGTTTTTTAAACAGCGATGGTCATAGGCTTGAAGGTGCCTCAGATTTTCAGACCGAAGGGGTCAAGTTTCTCTCCTATAGAGCAGAATGGCCCTCATTGTGGCTTTATGTACACGGCGCTTCAGATGGAGGGAAACTCCCTTCTGTCGCCAAACATGCCGCATGTTCAAAAAGGCAGCTCTGGCCTTTACAATGCGTGAACTGAGTTCAGTTTCTATGCGCTCATCATTGCTGATACAGCTGCCAATGCACGTGAACTGATCAACCACCTCATGTTCCTCATTAGCAAGGGCCAAAGGTCATATGGTGGCTGATGGTCCTGCAGCAATACTTTGAAGGTGTGAAGCGCATACCAAATAATGGGACCACTCTAGACAGCCTGTTCAGGTTTGATTGTGCCGCCGCAACATCGTCGGAAAGCAAATCCTATCTTCCGCGTAATCAATATCAATTAATCTTTCACCAGGCAGCACTTCAACGTGAGATTTATCATGAGCTTCACCAAGAGAGCACTTCATGATGGAGTGCACGAGGAAGTTTAAAAGAAGGGGAAATCGGACAACTCTGACGAACGCCACTTGGGGTCATAAAGCTATCCGATAGGCCACCGTAGACCCTGATGCGGCCTTTAGTGTTCGAGTACAGGGCACGTAGGATGTTCACATATTTCATCTGAACACCTCCCACGCAAGTATTTCGAACAGAAGGCATCTATCTACTGAATCGAGCGCACTTGAAATTGAGGAACATAGCTATTGTTGGTCTGAGGTATGTGCGGCGCTGCTCTAGCACCTGCCGCAAAGTGAATGTTTGATCTATACAGCCACGTCCTTGGCGGAAACCGGCCTGCTCTTCCTTAATCCGAGATTCCCGTTCCACAGTGAAGCAACGAACGAGAATCGAGACCAGTGATTTTGTCACAATTGGCGTTAGGCTAATATCCCTGGGGTTAGAACAGTCTATACGACTGCCCTTCTTGTATATTGCCACTATAATCGATTCGTTCCAGTTTGCGGGGACACTTTCTTCCAGATACGTTCGAATGAAGTTGAATGAGCCCCTAATTACCTCCCAGCTGAGCTACTGAAGAGCTCAGATGCCCTACTTGTGCGTTTCTATCACCTCAAATACTATGATATCTGAACTGGTAGCACTGCGTTCTAGCGCGTTCAGTTCGTCATAGAATGTGTCCTTGACAGCATCAGAACTGCAGTTGGTGGGAGCATAAGCAGAAGCCACGAACAAACAGCGTTTTATACTACTTCATGAATCAACGTTTGTTGATGTCGTCAAAGGACTTTACACAAATGTCTGCTCACCGGAATCCAATCAACCAACAATGTCTCAGCCTTGTAGCTTAACATGATACCTACACCAGCTTAACCCGTGAGTGCTGCATCGGCGTCTCCGGATGCGTGCAACCAATAACGAGAGGATAAGCCGGGTGCAGTTAGTTCAATAACCCCGTTGGGGTCATTGATCCTAGTTTCGGACACAACACACATCAATACCCAGTGTGTCCAAGGTGCGTGCGAGTGCACCCTGTT